GTTGGTACCGAAGGTACAGACTCATTCCGGGGAACACAAGCTCCTCTTATTTCCAGATGGAGAATCGAGATCTGTAGCGCGCGTTCGTGGACCGATAAGAGCCAGGAGAAATGTGACTGGTGTAGCGATCTCGTAAAGTGCCTTGGCCCTGGGTCTCTTATCTCGCATCTTGGGAGTCTCTTGAATTAGAATGGGAATAAGGAAAGGGTTAGGATGACATCTTTCTGGGGAGGTGAATATACGTGCGGTACTCAAGTTGCATGATGTACCCATTACATGGGTATATCCTACTTTAACGTGCCATTTAAATAGCTGATTGTTTTTTTTTTCTTTCCGCTCTCATCTCGACTTCGCATTTATATTATACACTCTTTCATTTCCATGGCGTAAAATGGTTCGCGACAAAAGAACGATTTCTGGTAGCCGGATAAACGTGGGATGTACTAACTGGTTCTGGTAGCGTCTCTTTGGGCTTTTCATGCTCTGTCAGTTTTTGCCGATTAAGCGTTTCTTTTTTTTTTTTTTTTTTACTTATCCGTGTCGTTATACAAGAACCTCTTCAAGTTCCTCGAACTCCTTGCGTTTCACTCCGATGACATTCTCGCACAATATTCTTCCCTCTCAATATCCCTTCACTGTCAAATACTTTTATTTCCCTGGACTCGACTTGTCTTTCCACGTTCCACGTTGTAAATGTACAATTCGACAATTCAGAGGCGGCATTTCATCTTTTACATTTCAAACAGTACGGCAAATTGGAATCCCGCCTGCACAGCCAGCCGTTACCAAATGGGCCACGCTGATCGATCTAGCGTAAGATTGAGGAATAAGAGAAGGCAAAAATGGAGAGGAGGAAAAAATGGTACGCGGTGCCGTCGCGCGCCGTTGATTCTGTCCAACCAGCCGTCGCGGCGTCTCGCGACATTTTGTGGCGCGCTACCCTATCGCACCGGGAAAGGGTTAAGAAAGACCTTAAGGATGCCTACGTCTATACGCGTGTGCACTCATGCAACTACCAGACAGAGGGTGCATCCCGAGAGTGTGACGCCCGCGTAATACGAATTGAGAAAGGGGTATGAGAGTCTAACCTCTTGAAGCGTAATACCGGTAACCCGTCCGACTTCACCGTAGTATGTCTATAGATATATATAGTATAGTATAACGTATAGAATTCTCATAGTCGGGTTTCTTCACGTACTGTACATAATGCCGTGTTCCTAGTGGACTACCGTAATTAATATAAATGCGCAGGGGCAACGTTCGATCGGTCGTAAACGGTAATCGGCTCTGGAAAGAAGAAAGGTACCGATTCACGGTGCACGGTAGGGAGAAAAAAGGAATAAAAAATTGGGGAAGAATAAAAAAGGAAAAAAAAAAGAAAGAAAGAGAAAAAGTCTCCTCCGAAACAATTCGACGTCGGAGCCTTAAGTGACGAGCGTGACGGAAGGTGACCGTCGATGATTCGTTTCGGCTTCTACCTATACCCGAACTTCGGTCCACTCTGCATTCATCAAAAAGCCAAATTGCTTGCGCACTCGCCTTGAGTTACGAGACGCTGTGTGTTATGTGCTCGATTATTGGAGACGTTCCGGTACCTTAAGTCTGTATGGATTCCTTTAATTCTTTTATAGTATATTGATTGAATAAATGTATCAGCCATTGGGATAGATTGTACCTATTACAGACTTGTGTCTTACTCCATTTTCTTCGGAATGAAAAATTGATATCTCTCGTCTGTCAGGTATGGTTATGATACTACGATGACTTGACTATTCTAGTACACCTCCTACGGTCCTTATTCATCTTCTCGTATATTATTTTTATGGAATTTGAAGTTCAAGCTCGAATCGTTCTTCTTTTGGATTATCTCGACATCGATGTTACTCTGTTATCCAATATCCAGTTTTTTTTTTCTTTTGTCTAAGTCGAAACCGATTTTCTATCGATTTTTCACGTTTCCATAACTGATTAAAGATTTCTATGATGATTTGTCGATTCAATCGACTCCGCCTACCTATAAATATGTATACCGCTTCCTTCATGAAATATTATAATCACGTGCAGTAGATATCGCGCTATGGAGGTTTTCGGGATTTATGAAATACAATGATTTATTTTCTCGAGTATCACGTACACGAGACAGCGATGATCCGGCCCTGTATCACGCTGGCTGAATTAATTGGAGCGCCGTATAATTGCTCAGGGTGGAGAATCGGTTACACGAGGGGATGCTTTCGTATAGATAACTCCATACACGGAGAAATGAGTATATGAAATGTATAGATATAGTGTGGCCGTCTCTTAAGCCTCACACTATAGTGCTACGGTTAGGGGTGGATCGTGTATATTGAAGTGGCTGAGCACGTAGAGAGGCAACCCCCGTCGCGACGTACCGTAAAATAATAATAACCGAGGGATATTTATGGCCGCAAAATCAGGAGAATTTTTTGCTGGGAAATCGGTGGAGAATCGAGACGAATCAAGCCGGTGGGAATTTTGCATGGTTGCTTCTTCTCATTTTGCCATTATTGGAGATAGATATGTTATACGCAAGCTTATATCTATATACGTATGTTACTACGTGCCATTTCGCCAGAAGCGTAGAAAAAGAAATGTTACGTAACTTTACTGCGACGAAATAATTTGGCAGTACGCATTTTACGCGGACGTGCGAATTATTCGCGTATATATTTTACCGTGCATTTATATCACCCTCTACTGTTGTATCGCTGCCAGTACTACTGTACAGTACAGTACTGACGTACCGTAGTACGTATATGCACGCATTTCCGCTTTCAAGTACAACGAAAGCACAGGGGATTGGAAAAGGAAAATAAAAGCCTGAAAGAACAGCAACCGCCAGTGCAACGAGGGAGATACCTTGCTGAAGCGAAAGACCCACGGGAAAGTAGTCTGTATATTAAGTATTAAAAAAAAAAGGAAAAATAGGGATTTAAAAAAGGATAAAAATCATACGGATTCAATACGGAACGATGTTTTTATTTTCAAGTTCATGCTAATTTTTAAACCCTTTTAGACGCGTAGTGATATAGTTTGCAGTCTCTCGAAATTGTGATACTTAAAATCTTTTTTTCTCTGTGTCAAATTTAATGGAAGTAGACGCCGCTAACTTTTTGCGAAAGATTGTTAAACGAACGTTCCGAAAAATAAAACACGAGTGCCATAGCTGATCGTGACGTTTCCTAGAAACTGTTAAGTCCTGAATACAAACTTGTTTCTATGAGCAAGAAGCTGCTGTGCAGGGGTTCAAAGGTCAGAAAAGTTTCGTTATGCTCCTATAGGATAACTATGTGTTGCAGGCATCGAGGAAGAAGGTAACCATCGGTACGTGTATATGTATACCGTCAAAGGATTGTAAAATATAAAAAAGAAATTTATCGTAGCGACTAATCCTACTGGAATGTCGAACGTTGCACATTGCACGTCATACCTGGAATAAGGGGAATAATGAAGGAAGTTAAAAGAAAGAATAAAAAGAGAAATACAAAAAGCCGCAAGAATAGCTCGCAGAGACGTTAACACGCGTGACCGTTCGGGACTCACGTGTCCGGCTCCAAAGCTGGGACCTTTCTGTGCGTATCGAAGGGCCTTTTCGAAGGGACTAAATTCAATTTTAATAAAGCCCAAGGCGAAAATAAAAGATCCTTTAGGAGCAAACAATGCCCTCGAATTGGACGAGGCGTCCTCGTACGCTCTGCTCCTGATCCTGCGGTCACTGGATAATTATATCGGGGCGTCGGCCTGGAATGCAAGCTACAAAAACTAAAAAATAAGAAAGAGTGAAAGTAAGAGAAGTTCAGAGAAATAAAGAGAAAGCCTACCTCAGAGCGGTGGACGCCGCGCGTCGCGCTCCTACCCGATTATAAAGCAACGACCTGTATGGTTTTACGCGACGATGTCCTATGGCCTATCTACGTTTTAAGAGAGGTCCGACGCATTCCGACGCCTCCCTATGAGTGTGGTACGTAGCGCGCGTGCACGTGTGAACGTCGTCGGGACGCCAGGGATCGATGCTCCATTATTCGGGAAAACGTGTCGGCGACAAAGCCGCTCTACTGCGACGTCCCTCCTGCCTACTCGATGATGCTTTAGGGTACTCGACGCTCGGACGTAAAGCGGCCTGGCTGAAAGGTACTTGGAGACGTTACTCCTCCGGTTACAAGAACGGATTACAGATTTAATGGTCTTTACGGGTTTCCGGATACGATTACGGTCGACGTGCTTCGATTCGACGCTCTTTAAAACGGATCACTATGTGGAAGATCTGGCGAGACTTTTAATTCGCCTAAAACGTACAGTCTCGTAATATTGTATTTTACATGCCCAATCAGAATTATTTTATTTTTACAATTTTTACAATCTTTAATACATTATGAAGGAATTTATACAGATTTTTAATACCCCTTGTTCGTGTAAATATTCATGATTTTATTGATGATACAGTATTTATACAAATTTTTGCTGGCTCATGAGTTTCCGAATTCTCGTATAGCTCATAGAATTTTTAATTTATCTTTCGCACAGCTCGAGCTTAGAAGGGTTAGATATATTTTGAAAAAAATATATTCACAACACGCTACCGGGTTGTATATCCAGGACGCAACTGGTCGTGAAGTTGGTAGCCGTGCGAATGAATAATTTCCATGTACTGCTATAGCCGTAACAGCGGCCCCGAGTAATTCCCGATATTTACAGCTGGATACAGCAGAAACTGCCTGCCTTATCAGGCAGGGTGTTTCGAGTGTTTAGTAGAAGCGTAATTGCACCGAATATATCAACGAATAGTTAAAGCTTCCTAGTAGAACTTGCCGCTTTTTCAAGAACCTCAATTATAAGTAAACAACCTAAGGTACCCTATATATGTATATGCATCATATACATATACAGTACATAGCTCGTAATTGCCTAACGATGTGAAATTGCCAGTCAATTACCAAAGTACTTACACTGACTTATGTACGTTTTACGGTTCGTTTCAGGATCGGCACGTCAAGGCTGCTGGCAGAGATCCCCAAATGGACACCAGCCAGGACTATCGATTGCTCCTTGGCTATGAGAACAAAACGCACACGGTGTTGCGTTTCAGCAGAAGCTACGACACCTGCGACCTGCGCGACCTCAAGATTACCGTAAGTGACTTTAATTTTGATATATCCGGGAGCTCATCCGTTCGATTCAATCCGTACGACACGTGATTCTGTCTTATCAAAGGATTTCCTTGAGAGATTGACTTATAGGCGTATCTCCGTTCCTAGGATAAAAGCGTAATTCGTTCTAGATTCAATCTTGTCGCAAAAGGTGCGGCAACGCCCAATCCCATCTATACAAAAGTACGTGACACTGTTTCCGAGAAAAATGGATAAAGGAGTCGTGGCACGCGAACCTCAGGAATATATATGTATATATATATACATATATATAATATATGTCGCAAACAAATGCTGAGGTAACAAAAGGAACGAAAGGATGAAAGTGCTGTTAGTGCACTTGGTTTCCTCTAATCCGTGATTATACAGCTTATCCAATGGGTTGGATTATCGAGAGCTTGCTATACGTAGACACGTTTTAAGAATTTTAAACATTACGCCATTTCGTATCGATCTCGCTGTAGGTTCGGATCATTGAATTTTCTTTACGTCAATACGAATTAATCTTTTTTTCTTTGTCTATTTTGTCTATTTTTTTTTTTGTAATTTTTGTTGTCTTCCACAATCCATCTCTAACAATTTTCTCATAAAAATATACTTCTTCCTTGGCACTTTTTGCACAGACATTTTACCTCTATTCTTAGCCATTTTCTTGTCGCAGGCTATGTCAGCAAAATACAATGATTATGCTTGAGCAAAGCGTCACGATGCTCCGAGCACTTCGTTATTGCGGATCTACTCAATCTTCGGCACGAGTTCCAAGAATCGTTTAGTTATATTCTATAGAGCGGTCATTTGGCAGTGGTAATAAAAATTTAGTACGTCAGCTTTTGTTTAGCGGAAACAATTTATATTCGAGTGACAGGTAAAATTTCTTTTCAATAAATCTGAAATTCAGTACAATCGATTAGGTAACATTTTGTCAACGACTCGATGACCCATGATGACATACACTTAGTGTGTATATCATAAATATACCGAATATCATAATTTCTTTCAGTTCCGTTATCTCCTCGTAGAATCGCTAAACGCGATATTCTCAATACCGAAGAAGGAAAGCTTGAGGAAATATATCCATCAGTTCGTAAATTTTATATAAATAGATGTAATATTCGCAATAAGGATGTGGGTTATGTGTGAAGGAATTGGTTATGAGAGTTGATTTTATAGCGAACTCATTAACTCTATTAGTTTATTCAGTTATCAACACTCTTTTCTAGTATCGAAAATCATTTAATATCTTTCTGTCTAGAATCGAATATCTGTTCATATCTAAATGTTTTCTAAATTTATAATATATTTCTTTAGTAAAAATTGCATCAATATTTTCTTTTATATAAATATCTTTGCGATACCTAATTATTTATTATAAATAGTAAAAAGTAGATAACAGCACAAAATATAACACACCGGAATATAAAAACTGTTGTATTATAAAATCATATCTTTTTCACGATGCTAGGCCATTATAATAGCTGTATCGTTCACTTACTTGTAAACAGGGTCTTATGTATTCATGTATTCCAGCGACGCGACTCACTCTAACAAAACAGAGCTGGTCTTCGCTAACAGCCATATTTACATATAATTAAGTAGAGAGACGCTTTCGAGCTGGCCGCGGCGTCTTCTGATTATAATTTGGTTTTCGTCCATGAAGGCAAATGCCATAAACTCGTACGGACAAAGAAACTGCCATAAACCGTGGCGATCCCGACCATTGTCGATCACACCCGAAGACACACGATTATCATTTACTCAGTATCAGACTCATTTGCTGAAATGACTTGTGGCTCCAGACTTACCAGCCAAACATCTAAACCCACTATACTCTACCACTATGTATAGGTATATGTATATGATATATATGTATAATAGAGTCTATTTTATGACTAATTAAAATTAATCCTTATGATTTGTTGTTGGTTAAATTGTATTTTTAACATATATCTACAAGGGTTCCGTGTGCTTCTATATTTCACCTGGTCTAAATGTGAAGCACCTGCCCCAGCAGGACTCTTATCTTCGTATTTAAATATATGTATACTCGATGGGACGTATCATTCAATGCCTAATGCGCGTTCTGTAAAAAATCATAAAGCGTTACACGCTCGATGAACTCCTACGCGCAAATAAAACGCAATATTGTGGCGAGCGATTTTTATCCGACGACAAACCCCGAGAAATGCTGGTAGTTTTTTTCTTATCTGATCGCGTGATGTATCGGAGCCCGCTGTTGTATATTTACGGTGACGTGTATCTTTCTAGATAGATCTAGGCCCGTATGCTAGGGTTACCCTACGATTTCATAGTTACCCGTCCAGAAATTCATAGCCGTACGAACGAGTGGTCTGTGAATCATTGCGATTCCCGTGAATCATGTGTAAAAAAAAAGTTGAAAAAATATATGAACTGTTACGAGTAGTTCCTATAGATTCGTAGAAGCGGATGTAGTTGAAAATTAAAATATTTGTTCGTTTTATGGAAAAATTCAGAAATCGATTAACGATATGCATTGCTCCATCTAGCTGGACTATCGGGTCTATCGCGATCATTCTCCACGGGCTACTGCTGGATATGAAAAAGAATTTCCTGCGAAACAGAGAGAATACGAAACGCCGATATGTCAGTTACACGCCAAATAGAATCGCGGTGCATTATGTCGAGTAAATTGAAGGTGTGAAAATGATTGTCTTCTACGTTTAGAGCGTTATCGACTTGGTCCTGGTACAGTACACTATTGTAAATTCCAGTACTGTAATGCGCATTCGGACGATTCGTATTAAGAGGTACTTTGGTATAATCTATTTCAGCGTCCGTTGATTGATTATTAATACTGCCCAGCTACCAACACCACTCGATTTAACATGTAGACGGGTTCTGGTGCAGGGTGCAGAATTAAATGAAGCAGCCGTCAGTCGAACTAGACGAAGGATGACTAACGTTGGGACAGAGCTGGTTCTACGGGTTCTGAGTATTTCCGGTACGTCTGCTTCCCTTGCCACCGAAGCTAGTCTGATAAATTGACTCTGATTCATTGTGCCCTACGAAATGGATAGACGAATGGATTGATAAATCGATAGAAAGATAAGATAAGCAGAAAATAAAATACAGGATAAATCGGAAGTCGGTTATGACGAATATTTGAAAATTAATGAAATAATTGATATAAAAGGTAAACCGTATCGATTAGCTTTCAAACAGTCGTATTTTGGTCGACCCGAGTATCGGACTTTCTCTACATAAATCGAATTCAGAGATGCAACCGGCTCGTCAACCTACGTCGGATAGTCGCTCTCTGTAAACGACATGTGTGCTCAGCACGTCCTGCCTAAAAACCGATCTCGTTATTTCGACAATATCGAGAATCTCTCTCGAGAGGTTGGCATGGCGCTTATTGGTCTACGTCGACGTCGTCCACGGCGCTGACAGTGGAAACGACTGCATTGGATTTTTTCCCAGGCATGTCCAATAAATCACGCGAACTGCGTAAAAGCGCTCAGCCGAGAATGTCACACTCTAGTGCAAGCTGAGCCTCTGAAAAATTCCGTAATGGCGCGTACGCGCGCATGCCGTCTAGTTTTACGAGTTTTACGCTGTACCGTTCGGGATTTTATGAAACGTGGCTCATTTGCCATAGGCTGCCGCGTGCTTGTCGCGTTTTAGCGCTTAAGCTTCGTTCATTTTAATATGGTTTATTAGCTCGAGAAATATTCAAATAGAATTTCATGTCTAGCGGTGTCCAGCGAGGCGCAGGACTTGAACCTAGATTGGACTAGGTCGACGATAGGACATGGTACTGAACTCTGTAAGGATGATGCTGGACGTAGGGAGATTGGTGTGCCTTGCAGGTCTCGTTGGGATTGGTTGGCTGACCTGGTTCCACTTCTATTTCATTCCTATCGTCGTATCTAGTTTACCACGTAGCCCTGGGTAGCTGTTACCTACGTACTGGCATTGGGAAAGCCTCCTGGCCAATCCCTGCTCGGAATAGCTATTGGACTGAAGGAAAATCGAATTTGACGGAGAACCTGCCGATGAACAGTGGTGTGCACCTTTTCTCTTCGGAGATAAGAGGAGAACGCAAAAGAGAAAAAGAAATCGAAAGAGACCAAGTCGAGGTATGAGATTGCGTGGTGCGCGGAGTGCTCGTGAATCGCGACAAGATGGAAATTACGTTAGGGATGAAATGACTCGATTGGATAATGTTCTTACACCGTGAATACTTCTACGACAAGTTAAGAATGTGGGGATTTTAAATAATTCGAAGATACAATTTTTATCTCGTTTTATTTTCATTCATAAAGAGTATAGGGGGGCGATCTAGAGAGATTTTGAGAGTGAATAAATTTAGTATGCCTTTGGGTCATTTCTTTTTTTTCAACTTTTTTTTTTATTCTCTGCTACTATCGTCCACTTTTTGTCAACATGTTTATCGGAGGATCCACAAACAAACAAGGAAAAATGACTACGAGTCCTTCTCTTCTCCGCCGTATAACTACTTCTTCTTCTTCTTATTTTATTCCTCCCTCTACCACCGATCCTCTGACTACTACACTTTTTCCCTTGGACTAATGATAGTTCGACGAAGAGTATATTCGCTTCCAAGTTTCCTAATCGGCCGGAAACTCTTAAAGTGGCAAGAGTTTAGTAAATTTATTTCACCGATTCGACGTTCCTCTTTTATCGAACTACGCCTACGTCGAGATAACGTTTACAGACTGTTTTAATGAGAGTTCTTATACATTTTCTTTTCCTCGATTTGGATATTCCATTGATATAACCCCGTAGGGTCTACAGAGTTTCGTCGGAATTAAGAGCGACCGACGGAGATTTAATGTATACAGTGGATAATTAGCCATGGCCACTCGAAATAGGCAGCTTACCCGTAGAAGTCAGCCACCGATTATGAGGGATCTTAAGGGTCAACAATTAAACCGGTACTTTGGATTAGGCCTAAGTCCACAACCCGCTCAAGTTAGAAG